CGGGCGGGGCCGCGGGGGCCGAGCGGGCGCTGCCGGGCCAGAAGCACTGAGTCCGCTGTCCTTCCTGCAGGTAAACTGTGCCAGTGGTCGGACGCCTGCCTGTCCCAGCCCTGCGCCAACGGCAGCACCTGCTCCACCGTGGCCAACCAGTTCTCCTGCCGCTGCCGGGCCGGCTTCACGGGCCCCAAGTGTGAGACCGACATCAACGAGTGCGACGTCCCGGGCCAGTGCCGGCACGGGGGCACCTGCCTCAACCTGCCGGGCTCCTTCCAGTGCCAGTGCCCCCAGGGCTTCACCGGCCAGCGCTGCGACAGCCCCTACGTGCCCTGCGCCCCCTCCCCCTGCGTCAACGGGGGCACCTGCCGGCAGACGGGGGACTTCAGCTTCGAGTGCAGCTGCCTTCCAGGTCAGAGCCCTGGCGCCGGGGCGGGGGGTGCGGCCCTGGTGCTCGTAGGCAGTGTCCTCCCCAGCAGGGAGGGGGAAGTGAGAATCTGTGTGGGGTGGGTTGCTGGGGAGGGAGGAGTTTTATGAGCCCAGTGCACTCTATAAACTGAGCAGGGGGTAATTTCACTTGTCAGGGTTTACGATGATGAGTGACTCGGAGAGGGCTTGCTGTCCATGCTGGAGCCCGAGAGAGACAACTCTGGGAAAGGAATAGCCACGCCTGTGAAGTGGGAGGGGCCCCGCTGAGACAGCGCGGAAGGCAGGCGTGCGTACGAACAAAGGGCCATCACGGGAGGCCGCTGGCGAGCGGCGGGATCTCCCCGCCACCCAGATGTGCCCGCCCCCGCTGTCCTCTGACGCTGGGGCAAGCCTGTCCTGGGTCGAGGCTGGACAGTTTCGGAACCGGGGCAGGGTGTAGCTCATCGCTTTCTGGGGAACGCTGATAAATTATATACGGCATAATCATAGGTAACGAAGACAGAGCGATATACAGGCGGGAGTTTGGGGCTCAGTGTTGTGTAGCGATGGAGAGCGGAGCCAGCCTGGCCCAGTCACCAAACTTGAGAAATGATGGGGAGGTTGGAAACGGAGGATTTTGATTGGGACCAGAGCACAGGCAGCTGGAGCAGATGAATTACTAAGCAACGGCGAGTCTGTTTTTATACAAATCTCTTTAGTCCAAAAACAAAAGAAGGAAAACCATAGTGGGGGGACAGTGTGCTCAGTAAGCAGAATTGTCTCAAAAAGAAGTTGTCGGGCCACTCTCCGCCCGGGGCGGAGGCCCCGCTCCCAGGGTGTGGCTCACGAACACAGGAGCACATGTTGCATCTTCTGGGAGTCAAGGGCCACGGGTTGGCCCTAAGATCAGACCACATGGCAAATGCATTCACTTCACTCCACAGACGCGGGTGGCTGCCCGCTGCCTCTGGCGCCCCCGGTGTGCTCAGACGGTGCAGCCACCCCACCTCGCAGGAGGCTCTGTCGTTTCACGCCAAGCCCCAGAGCGAGCTGTGCAGTCACACCGCTTTCAGTTTCTCTTCAACGAAGACGGGCCAGGCCAGCACCCCAGATGCTAAGTAGACTCGTTCTTACCGTGACGCGTCGCCACCGTCATCCAGCTGCGTTGTCCTGCAGAAGGAGCAGCGAAAGGAGAGTCTGCCCTCCCGCCCATTGTGTTTGCATTTTGAGGGTTAAAGGAAAAAAAAAGCAAAGATATAAACAGTTTGATTTTGTTAATATCCTAATAGCTTAATAGTGTAAGTGGCTGGTAATTGAGGTTATGTGATTTATTGTCAAAGGCTAAATGTGTTTTTCAGTTTCAAGAAAATTGCTTGTAATAATTGCCATAACAAGAGGTTGATTTGGCAGCAAGATCCTGACGGGAAGTCAGAAGTCAATAAAGGAAGTTTTTAGCTAGGAGAGAGTGATTACTCACTCCCAGGCCTCGCGTTGTTACCCGTTGCCACGATAAGAACCGTAGGGAATTCTGAGAGTGTGTCCAGGAAAGGATCTGTCAGACCAGAATAGTATCTCCTCCTTGAGAAAGGAAATAACCAGGGATTCCGCCGCGGAGAGGCTGCCAGAGCCGGGCCGGCCTCGGAGACGCTGTCTCTGCCTCCCCGCAGCTCTCACGGACGCAGCTGCGTGTGGGCCGGGGCGGCGTCCCGCCGGGGCCGCGTGCTTGCCAAGGGGCCGCGGGCGCACGCGTGACCGCTCCTCGGGCCGCCCTGTGCCGGGCGCTTCTGCCTCCGCTAGCTCGTCTGCACAAAGCCGGGGCCGGCAGGCTGTCTTCTGCGTTTCCCCAGGTGGGTAGCTCGGGCTCAGAGACCCGACGTGACCGGGCTGTCAGAGCTGACCTGCGGTGGGGCCGGGCCTGAAACCCGAGGCCCGGCGGAGTGTCCCCAAAGCCCTTCTCTCACGCATCCCCCCGCTTGTCTACCCTGGGGGTGCCTCAGGCGTGAGCGAGGCTTTCTGGGTCTCCGAGCGTGTGGGTCGGAAACAGAGGTTGATGTAGGTGAACGAGGAGACACCCTAGCTGTGGCCACCTGTAGCATTTTGTCGCGTGTCCACCTGTCGTGGGCATCGTGCGTTAAAACTACTTGAGGAGGCTGGTTCTGGCCTGGGCACCCGCGGTGCGGCGACACAGGTGGCATCGACTCGCACAGGTGTGGCAGGAGCGCCAGCGGATTTCAGAACCGAGGCGGGTGCAGTCCCGCTGTGAGAAGCTGCGATCCGCTGTTCTAGGCCGGTTCTGGCCCCGGCTGGCGCCGGGGAAGCAGTCTCTGCCTCTCCGCGGCGACGCCGTGCAGGAGAAGGTTTTCTTGGCGGAGTCCTCTCCGGGAAGCAGCCCCACTTGCTTCGCCCCCGCCCGCCGGTGCCCCCCACGCCTTGCTTGAAGTAATCACCACGTCAGTGTGCACGACACCCCGAGTTCAGGGGAGTCACCATTTCCGTTCTGAACCTGGGGCAACCAAGACAGCGGAGGCGGAGAATCCGGGGTGCGTACTGCACCCCCAGCCCCCCAGCGCGGCTTCCGCTCCCCCAGCCTTCGCACGCTGGCAGAGGCACCACGCGGGGGCTCGGGCCGTGACCACCGTCCCCTTCACTGCCGGCGCTGGCCGAGCTTTCTTTGCCGGTTCTGCAGCCCTCGCCGGCTCCTTGCTGCGGAATCTGCGCTGTGTGACTTCCTGTGCCCACTGCCCGTTGCCCCGGATCCTGCCGCCTCTGTCTCTGGAGCAAACGCTAGCGTCTGTTTCATTTGGCGATAGGGCCCAGCACCTCAGCGGCGCAGGGCGGTCAGCGCAGGCCTACCGTCCCTGTGGGCTGCTGGGCGAGCCCTGCTCTGACGGGCTCACCGGGCACGCTGCATCCTGGCTGCACCTGGCTCCTCTCTGCCTGGGCGCGCCAACCTGGGGAGCCCTCAGGGTCCCCGTCAAGCCGAAAGTGAGCGACCACCAAC